TCAAAGAAAAAAATGTTAAATATTTTGTAAGTGGTTAACTATGGGATACAAATTTAGGAACTTTTATTTTTATCCATCCAAGTTTTCTGATTCTCAACAGTAAATATAGATTTTAAAGCCCACTAAGGGCTGGTTGAGGAGGGATGGAGAAAGCCCGCGGAGTTCACAGGATGCTCGGAGTTCACATTCTCATGTCCCATCATGAGCCTCTTGCTCTGACAGGGAGGTCCAGGCCGCTGTGCTGTGTGACATTCCCAAACCCATTCTTTACCCTTCCTTCTCCAGTGAGCTGTTTCTCCAACCTACAGGTTTTCTTACCCTAGGACAGAGACCCTTGCTTCTATGCAGCCTTATCCCATTCCCCTGGACCATCTCCAGTTGCCCAAAGTCCAGGCTTTTTTGGGGAGAGAAGGGCTAAGCACAGGGGGCACAGATAGTGTTGGGCCTGGTCAAAGGACACAGGATGTTGGAGTCGCACAGACATGGATTCATACTCCTTGCCTGCCTCTTTCTGCTTTCTGAAGTTGGTCTGGTCCCTTAGCTTCCCTCCTCTTCAGTTTGTTGGTGATAATGGCCATGTTCTAAAATGAGGTAAAGAGCCTAAAGCAACCACCATACAATGGGTGCTCAGTAAATGTGAGTTCTCACCTCTGCTGTTAGTTGTCTGTAGTTATAACTAATTTTCTAGTAAGTCTGGAGTGTTGGAAAAGGATAATTCACCTGTGTGCTGCTGTTGCTTAGCATGTGGGGCTCAGCATTCCTAAACTGGAGCATGGTTGGGGCAAAGAGTTGGAGAGGCAGTGCATATTCCCAATTAATCAGGTTACCCCAGCTAAATGCTGTATTTCCGCTACCAGGAGAAACAGTAGCCAGAACTTTTCCACAGACTATAAACACTTCACTAAGGGAAAGAGGGTATGAATTTTCAGCTGATTGCCCCAGAAGAATGTCAGTGTCCACGGAAGAGAACTGCTTTTCCTTTAAGGAACCACACAGAGGATAGCAGAAAGTGAGGCTGCCCCCTGCTGGACATAGTAGGGGAAGGCAGAGGGTGAGAAAAGTCATGGAACGAGAATTTGAGAACTTTCTCCTGATGTGCTGGGGGAAGAGATGGCTGGATGAAGGTCTGGACAGGCATGGGGTTGGACATGGCATCGCATCAGGTGGGTGGGAATTGAGAATTCAGTCAGAACAGGAATTCAGAGTCACGGGAGACTTTAACTCTCTCTCTGACCCCATGCTAGTCATTCTTAAAAATTTGGGACACGTGCTAGATCTTCTGCTATTTCTGATGAATGCCTGAACCATTTGGGAAAAGAGGATTCCAGAAAGCCGGAGGAACTGGCGGATGTCCAGGTTGGCTGTGAAAAGTTAAGTAACATGGTCTCCATGTGCTGGGAGTCTAAAGAAGTAAGTCCTGCAGGTTTGTCCTGGAGTGTTTCAACATTTCCCCTGAGAGCAGAAACTTGAGCTGAACTTTGCCACATTGTGCAGGACTTGGGTAAGAATCTGGCATATCTTTAAGGGTCTGATTGGGTCTTATGATGAATCAGACCCTAAGAATCAGACCCTAAGAATCAACCTTAGTTTCTCATTGGTCTAAAAATACCTGTTTGCATGAAGGGTTTCTTTGGGTACTGCTAACCATATCCTTCTCTGCAAATTTAGACATTCCTCTTCTAAGAGGCTGCTGCTCCTCCCACCTCTCTGGCTGCCTCTGCTGCTCCTTCTTCCCTTGACCCTCTCCTGGCAGTTTGAAGGTAGGCCCACTACCCCTCCTGGGAGCCTTCCCTCGCCTGGCTACTCACTCAGTTCATACTCACCACATCCATTCCCAAGGTTGTGCCTCTTCCATAAGGTGAGGGACTGTAAAGATGAAGACCATAGCAGCTGTGGTTTGGATGCTCACTTCCCAGTGAATGTCCTGAGAGCCCTCAACTCACAGTATCCCAGATAATGAGATATTCTCCTTCCCTCTCATCTATCTCATCTCCTTCCCTCTCATCTCATCACTGATGGTCTGATGGCATGACAATGTTCCCAGTCACTAGGACTAGATCCTTCATGGTGACAGGTAACTCCTGTCCTGCCTCATCACCTGCATCCAGCCACCCTCTCATCTCCCACACTGTACTACAGACAGTGTGGGCTCTTGGAGGGGACTTTAGTTGACCCCTCTGTGTCTTTCTTAGGTATCAACCATTCCCATCCCTCCACAAACTCTTATCTTTGCCCAAACCTTAGGGTGAGATGTAATGTTTGTCCCTATGATGCTTTACCTAATTCCCCATCCCAGCATATTGCCCCTCTCCTATGGACCCTCTCTACACAGTTTACCCACATAGTCTCATGTTGCACAGGATGCTTTCTTTGTATCTTCCATCTACACTGTGAGCTCAGTGTCAGCAGGATGTTTATCTGATTCTTGCCCTTTACTCCCTCAGGGTCTGGTATATAATTGGGGCCAATAAGTAGGTTTTGTGGCCATCAACACCCTTTGTTTATCCTTGCCTATCTCCCCAGCTTGTGGATAACTTTCTTGAGGACTGGACTAAGCATGATTCAGCTCTGTGTGGCAGCAGCTGAGCATTGTGCTGGCTTGACCTAAGTATAAGTGTTGAAGTGAATGGTTGAAGGTAACCCCATTAATCACTTAGTGTTTACTGTGCCTCGAAGAACTGTAACATTAAAAGATTTGGATAAAGCAGGGGAGCCTTTATCCAAATGATAAAGAGGGGCTAGAGATGGAGATGGGACTCTAGGAGAATGTAGTATGACAGGAGAGGAAGACTTTAGATAAAGAGAGGAATCAAAGAAGAAGACAACTGGTTTGACAGCATGGAGGTCTTTTTTTTTTTTTTTTAAATACCTTGACTTTTTTTTTTTTAAAGATTTTATTTATTTATTTGACAGACAGAGATCACAGGTAGGCAGAGAGGCAGGCAGAGAGAGGAAGGGAAGCAGGCTCCCCGCTAAGCAGAGAGCCCGATGCGGGGCTCGATCCCAGGACCCCAGGATCATGACCTGAGCTGAAGGCAGAGGCTTTAACCCACTGAGCCACCCAGGCACCCCAGCATGGAGGTCTTTGGGAGGCTATGGAGAATGATTTTTCTTTGGGTGGAAGGAACACAAGCCATTTTGGAGTACACAGAGGAGGAGATGTAGAAATGGAGAAAAATAGTATCAATAATTTTTCAAGTACTCTGCCTATAGAGAGGAGGAGTGATAGAGAGGGGAAAAGATATAAAAGTGGGATCGAGAGGGACTTTTCTTTTACAATGGGAGACACCAAACTGTATATGAAAGCTGAAGGAGTGGATAAAGAACTAAGAAAACTTAACTACATAAAAAATATTTTTGCATGATACAAGCAGGTAAAACTCATGGAAAGAACATTTGCAACACACCTAATAGGTGTAATGCATGGTTTGGACTATACAAACTGAGATGCAAAAAAATGTTATTTTATTTTCTTAACTGCATTCAACTTGTTCCTCAGCCCTCATTTCTGTTTGCAGAAGACAGCCCCATCAAAAAACACAACAATTAGAATATCCTCTCAGGGTAACTTAGTTGTTTTTAATGTATTCATCCCTAAAGCCCAGATCATCTTTTCTATCTTCAAAGAATCCATCCCTTCTCGGTGCTTCCCTCGACTTTTGTACATACTTCTCTTGATCACCATCACACGGTAATTACATACAGCACAACTTGACCTTGGATTTGTTGAGAGCAAGGACATTCTCAGGGTCTAATATATGCATGTTACTTGTGTATATTTGTTGACTCTTGTCAGTTAATAGTCATTTAAGTCCCCTATGTGCTACAGTGTTTGTAGTATTAGGTGGGACTATTTCTGCATTTGCCACATTCCTAAAAAGCATGTTGCAGTAATTAAACTATTTATTTCTGCTTGGGAGTTTTTTCAAGTCTCAAATTTCTCTTTGATTCCTCCTCCATCCACTCCTCCTCTTTCTCCTCTTTCTTTTTAACTGAAATAAGCTTAAATAAACAGAAAGATGCACAAAATTTATGTGTGTACTCACTGAATTTTTTTTTTTTTTTTTTTTTTTTTTTTTTTTTTTTTTGGGTGGGGAAGGGGCAGAGAGAGAGGTGGAAAAAAGAATCTTAAGCAGGTGGGAAAGAGAATCTTTTTTTTTTTTTTTAGTATATGTGCTGCCGAAGCGAGCACGGGAAAGAGAATCTTAAGCAGGCTCCACACCCAGCACAGAGTCAGAGGTGGGACTCGATCTCACTACTTGAGATTATGACCTGAGCCAAAACCAAGAGTCAGATGCTGAACCAATTGAGCCACCCAGGTGCCCCAAAGTGAAATTTAACATGTATGTGCACCTAAGCAATCCCTCTCAGACCCAGATCCAGAACATTTTCTGGCTTCCTTGATGCCCCTTCCTAGCTTCTCCAAACATAGCTATGCTCTGATTTCTAACACCATAGACTAGCTTTGTCTGTTTTTGAACCTCATGTAGATTGAGTCATACACCTTGCATTCCTTTGTTTCCAGCTTTTTTTGTTCAACATGATGTTTGTGAGATGCAAACATATTGATCATTCTTTTTCATGGCTATGATGTAATTTTGTCTGAATGGTGATTATGGTTTTAGTACCAAACTAGTATTACTATTATTATTACTTTAGAGAAAAGGCCTTTCCTAAACCTAGACTAATATTTTACTATAGATATGTTTGGTTTTATAATATTTTTCCTACCCTAAATGGGTCATTAAAACATAAATGAAAAATTATTCATTTTCAGAAAACATGATTAACAAGTATGCAAATAAAAATAAACCCTTAATTTAGTTCCTTCCCACAGAGTTGGGCAAGACATTGATCTTCCAGATTCAGGGTTTAAGGCAAGGCTGAATGTTAATTTTGGACTATGGAAATAGCAGGAAGTAGGCTTCTTGAGTAGGAAGCTCCCCGCCTGATGTGCTGTTTTATGTCTCCCCATCACTACTTGCTACAACGATTTCTAGTGAGATGAGTCAGAAAACGACTAAGGAGGGTCCCAGACTCTCCAAGAACCAGAAGTTTACAGAGCACTTCAGCATACATTGCTGCCCACCATTCACCTTCCTCAACTCCAAGCGTGAGATCGTGGATCGGAAATACAGCATCTGTAAAAGTGGCTGCTTTTACCAGAAGAAAGAAGAGGACTGGATCTGCTGTGCCTGCCAGAAGACCAGGTAAGTGGTCTGCACCGCCCACTCAGCACCTGGCTGGGTACTGGCCTGTGGTCTCTCAGCAACACGCCCCCTTCCTGTTCCGTTCGGTGATTTCTGGGCTGCTCTTCCCTTAATGCCCTGCAGTCCGCTCCCTGTTAGGTTCTGCCACTGGAAGGTACTGAAGGGCCATCGAAAGGCGGGAGGGGGAGCAGGGCCTGCCTCCCTGTTTCCAGCTCCTGTCAGTATCCCTTAAGCAGCAGAAGAGAGCCATGGCGCCAGCCTCCAGCTTCTTTTGGCCCCCTCAGCACCAGACGCCGTGCAACGTCCCCTCAGAGGCCCAAGCTCCAGCCAGCTGCACCCCCCGCGGTGGTCAGAGCACCAGCCAAGCCACGGTCCCCTCCGAGGTCTGAGCGTCAACCACGCCCCCGCCCAGAGGTCCGACCACCACCAGCCAAGCAGCGCCCCCCTCAGAAGTCCAAGCAGCCAGCGCGCAGCAGCCCCCAGAGAGGGCAAGGCACCAGCCGTGGGGGGTCCCCCATCAAAGCTTCTAGGTTCTGGTAACACCATCTCTTCCCTTTTGTTCCCCCAGCCCTAAGGTTAGTAGTTGCCTTCTGTGTTTACTAACTTCTGGGTTACCTCAGTGGCCCTCTCTTGACCTTACCAAACCTGTGTCAATTCCCTGCATTAAATCCCCTTATTGGAAATACCTAGTGTGGCTTGTTTTCCTCATAGAGCTGCCGGTACAGTACTTCAGATGGCAGTATCCATTGCTTCTTTTGTCTAGGAGGACTGCAATTAATTAATATATCAACTCAGAGTATCCGCCCCAGTAACAGATTGTGCGACTGAGGCCATCCATTGCTGTGCCTCAGAGAGGAGGAAGGGTGACTCTAGGGATATCTGTGCATGTGTAAAAATGCATGTGTAAAAACAGATTTAGCCAGTTCATTTATCTATCCTCCTGACACACTTCATCTGATGTTAATCTTAGTGGCAAGATCATTCATTCATTTATTTAGTCATTCAACAAACTTGATTGCATACCAGAGTTCCATATCTCATGCAGGGGAATGGGAATACAGCAGTGAACAAGCTAGGTTGTGACTCACCAGGGTGAAACAAGAGAATAGTTGATCGAAGTATAGGGCAATATTGCCTTAATATTGTCATAATCAGTAAGTACACTGGGCTGTAGGAGCCTGGAGCAGGCTGCTCATCTGGAGCCTCACAGAGGAGGTTAGGCTAGGGTAAGCAGAGAAAAAAAGGAGGCTGTGCAGAGGGAAAAAGTAAGCCAGAGACATGTTTATCTGTCCCATCTGAGACAGGTCAGGTTCTTCCTCCTCCTCTTCCCCTCTCCTTCTCCTCCTCCTTCTTCTCCTTTTCCTTCTCCTTTTCCTCCTCCTCCTTCTTCTTTTTTCCTTCTCCTCCTCCTCCACTTCCTCCTCCTCCTCTACTTCTTTCTCCTCCTTCTCTTCTTCTTTTTTTAAAATATATTTCAATTTTAGATCAGTTTTAGGTTCACAGCAAAATTGAGTGGAGGGTACAGAGATTTTCCATATACTCCCTGCCCAAGCACATGGCAGGCCAATCTTTTAGTCCTTTTTAATATTTGGAAATGAAACCGTTTTTCGGGTTAATAGTGGGTGCTCATTGTATTTGAGATTCTCATACTTATTCTGCATAGCATGTTACTATGTGTGCATGTCATGCACTGTTTACCAGTTTAGGATGCAGAAGAATCAACTCAGGATCATGTTAGAAATACCCCCAGAGGATCTAATTCCTTGGGTCACGGATGAGGTCTGGAGATATTTATTTCCAAAAAGCAGCACCTCCATCCCAGCATAGTGACACATGTGGTACGCAGACCACCCTTTGAGAAGCATTGATGCTTCCATCCATAATAAATGATCCACATTATCTGTAATGTGCAATAAAGACCTGTGGAAGGGGCCATGTGTATGACACCAAAAGTGAAAGAATTAAAAAAAGATGCAAGATCAGGTGAGGTTAATTTGTGAAGGAGGTAAGAGGCTGCTGTCTTTAACCCTGGAATAGGAAGTTGTATGCCGGGTTACCTAGTCATTAATCAAGATGTCCCAGGGAGCCTGAGTCCAAGGGTGATGGCCAGGTAAGTTAAGATACGTGGGACTGGTTAGGAAGTGTGAGAAGCAGAGGAAACTAATTGGATACATGGCAGGTCATCTGTGGGGGTGGCTTCAAGCCACCATTTGCAGTGAGTTGTGTGATGGCTGCTTGGGCGGCTGGGAGTTCAAGCAGGACACAGATGGAAGACCATGAAAGCCGACTTCATCTGTCTGCACCCATCCTGCTGGTTTTATCCACCTGAACTCCAGAGACATCCTGATGTTGGTGTAACTTGATTCCCCAAGTTAACTGTTCTTATTAGGTTTCAGGCTGTCCTTGCCTCCTCAGTCCTTTTTGTTTACTGGTACAGGGGACCTGAAAACCCCTGTTCGTAATGGTCCACAACACTGAGGGTGCACCATCTGAGCCCTTCTCGAGACATTCATTTTAGCAGCAACAATGCAAGGGCAGGCAGTTCATTGGGGCAAGGAAGGTAATTGGAGGAACAAGGAAGTTGACAGGAAAGGAAGCAGCTGACTCTATGTTATCAAACCAGTTCTCACTGTGGGTTCCTGGGGCTTAATCCTGCTAAGGAGCCCTAGAAGCCAGTGTAAGATGTGCACTCAGTTTTCCTATCTAAGCAGTAGGTGAAGGAACTGGGTTATTTATACACCAGGTCCTATCAGTTATTGGTCAACCAATGCTACTTCGAGAGTGGAGGTATTAATTCCTTGACCCTTTGGCCTACCAAGCAGATGGCAAAGTGGGCTACAGCAGCAGGAAATAGCCCACAGAAAGAGAAAAGCATCTGGAAATTCAGCCAGTGTGCATACAGTGGTAAGGGCAAGGAATCGTAGACTAAGCCCCAATAACATCTGCTCTAACGGCTTCCCTATGCTCTTTGTGCTGCTTTACTTGATGAATGCTGAACCCCGTCTTTATATCAATGGTACTGTCTGTTAAATTTATTGACTATTCACTCAGTCATTAATTTTTTTGTACTCTTGCCTTCCATGACCCTCCTGTTTCGTAATTCTCTTTGTGGACTTTCCTTCTGTCCTTATTGTGAATCCTTCCTTTCCTGCTAATTGATAAACCTTGGAATCTGCTGGGGTTCCATCCTGAGCCTGCTGCTTGGGAGATTTTTCCTTCTTTCATGACTAGCACACTGATGACTTTCAAACCTTACTCCAGCCCTAACATTAAACTCACATTTGGCCTGTTTGTCCAGCAGATCACTCTGGATGTTGCCAAACCCAGCTGTTTCCACCTGACTGCATTCCCATGAAGATGTGCTCATTCTCTCATTTCATCTCATTTCACCCATGTTGAAAACCTAACCACCATCTTAACTTTCAAACATCCCCAACAAATGATGGCTAATTTTACTTCTAGAATTTTTTTTTAAACTATAACTTAGAATATGCTAAGAGTTGATGAGAAGGTGTATGGACATGAGGGTGAGACTGAAAATAAAAGAGGGGGAATGGAGATTGGTGATAGAGTAAACCTCCTTCACAGTATGTGTGGAGACTGGCCTTTGATGGGAGCAGGAAAAACCATTCAGTTTTGCAAAGGAGAGAGAGACACATTGATGGTCATTATGATGAAGGCAAGTTTTACCCAAGGATGAAAGAGCTGGGGGGATTTGAGAAAGTTAGGGTAGGGTTTGAATACCAGAGACCAGGATGGGAAAAGTACTGAGGGATAGCTGAGCTCTGATCCTTGGAGCTGCATCTGAATCTTTTGTTCTTATGGAATTTATTCTCCAGGGAGGGAAACAAATTATCATCTCCACAATTGACAGCGGAATCATTCAACTCCACATCAAATCTGCTTTTCTTACAGCTTGCTTTGTCTAATGTTCCCACAACTGTTCTTAAACTTCACTGGGTGTCGTTAGTGCTCTGACCCTTGTTTTTCATTTTCCATTCATTAGACTCCCTTTTTCCCTCTGGCATTTTGATTTTTATATTTATTATATTGTATAGTACTGTATTGTATTAGAGATTAGCCAATTTATTTAAACTAAAAAAAAACCCCAGCACTCATTTCTCCTGCCCCCTACTCCCCACCCTCCACTTTTGGCAACCATCAATCCATTCTCTTTATTTCCCTTAGTGTAATGCCCTTGAGGCATATCCATGTTATTGCAAATGGCAGGATCTCATTCTTCTTTATGACTGAATAATATTCCACTGTATATATAAGCCATAGTTTCTTTATCCATTCATCCATTCATCCATTGATGGACACTTAGTTTGTTTCCATATCTTGGCTATTTTAAATAATTCTGCAATGAACATGGAGGTGCCTATGTCTCTTTGAGTTAGTGCTTTCATTTTCTTTGGGTAAATACCCAGAAATGAAATTGCTGGATCATATAGCTGTTTTATTTTATATTTTTTTGAGAAAACTCCATGCTGTTTTCCATAGTGGTTGCACCAATTTACGTTCCCACCAACAGTGCACAAGGGTTGCCTGTTCTCCACATCTTTACCAACACTTGTTACTTCCAGTCTTTTTGGTATTAGCCATTCTTGCAGGTGTTGGTGGTATCTCATGTGTTTTTGATTTGCATTTTTCTGTTGATTAGTGATGTTAAAAATCTTTTCATGTACCTGTTGGCCATCTGTATGTCTTCTCTGAAAAAAAAAGTCTATTCAAACTCCTTTCTTCACTTTTCTTCCTCTCTAAATTAGAAGCCATGGCTCAACATTTTAATCTTTTTCAAAAGCACCCTGAAGTCCACTACCCTCTGAATATCTGTCTCATGTCTTTGGGAAAACTCTAACTTTGGGTGAATCCAGCCATCTGTCTTCACCATGTCTGTTTCCAGGCAGCTGTGTCTGATTGGAAAATAACACACATCAGGACAGTAGTAGTTGGGTATAAGCAGGATTATGCTCATCATTATCACCTAGTACTATTAACTTTTGGGCAGTCATAGTTCAGTTATGTGCATTCAGATAAAAGAGAAAGGCATGGACCCCAAAAGTGTCATATATATGTATGTAATTCACCCACCCACCCCCACACATAACCTACATATATCAGGTTTATTGAGATATAATTTGCATGCAGCAGCATTTGACTTTTTTGGCAAACAGTTCTAGACACACAATCATGTAACCACCATCACAATTGAGACATCAGGTATTTTCATCCCCTCACCCCCCCACCAAATTTCCCTCATATTTCCTCTTTGCAGTCAATTGCCGAACACCTGACAACCAATAATCTTTTCTGTCCCTAGAGTTCTGTCTTATAAGTCTAAAATGTCATATAAATGGAATTGTACAGTATGTACCCTCTTGAGTCTGTCTTCTTTAACTTAGCATAATACATCTGAGATTGAACCATGTTGTTGCATGAATCAGCAGTTTTTTCATTTTTATTGCTAAGTAATATTCCATTATATGCATGTACCTATCATAGTTTTCCATTAACCAGTTGAAGGGTATTTAGATTGT